GGTCCACATCCCTCCATTCCTTGCATATTCATGTGCTTATCTAAAAGTCCCTTAAATGTCCCTAACAGATCTGCCTCCACCACCACCCCTGGCAGTGCGTTCCAGACTTCTACCTCTCTGTGTAAAAAAAATTCCCTCTCACATCTCCTTTGAACTTTCCCCCTCTAACCTTAAATGCATGCCCCCGAGTATTAGACATTTCAACTCCAAGAACAGATTCAGACCGTCAACCCTACTTATGCATCTCATAATTTTATAGACTTCTATCAGATGTCCCCTCAGCCTCCACCTCTCCAGAGAAAATAAACTGAGTTTTTTTTAGACTCTCCTCATAGCTCATACTCTCTATGCAGTCAGCATCCTGGTAAACCTCTTCTGCACCCTCTCCAAAGCCTCCACATCCTTCCTGTAATATGGCGACCAGAACTGAACACAATCACCAAGGACCATCTTGAAACTTGAAGTTATCACAGACCACAAGCAAAAGAGGCTCCTGTGTCATATCAACATATTGAAATAGTACCATAGTCGGGAGGGGAATAACCAAGCACAGGTCTGTCAGGCAGTAAAGACAGTGGAGGATGAAAGGGACAGTGAGGATGATGCAGAGAGAGGTCTGAATGATTCCAGAATTGAATTCCCTGCTGCCAACAAATCATTAGGAAGATTAGACCCAATGATGCTATATTTAAATGTAGAGAAGTGAGGAGACTTGACAAGGCTGCTCACTGAACTTTTGTTCTTTTTTAAAGGGCGTCTTGACAAATACATGAATTTTTTTTATTCATTTGTTGAATGTGGGAGTCACTAGCTGACCAGCACTTCTTGCCCATCCCTAGTTGCCCTTGAGAAGGTGGTGGTGAGCTGCCTTCTTGAACCTCCTGCAATGGGTTGACTCACAATGCTATTAGGGAGGGAATTCCAGGATTTTGACCCAGCAACAGTGAAGGAACGGCGAACTATTTCCAAGTAGGATGGTGAGTGACTTGGAGGGAAACTTGGAGGTGGTGGTATTCCCATATATCTGATGCCCTTGTCCTTCTAGATGGAAGTGGTCGTGGGTTTGGAAGGTGCTGTCTGAGAATCTTTGGTGAATTTCTGCAGTGCATCTTGTAGATAGTACACACTGCTGCTACTGAGCGTCAGTGGTGGAGGGAGTGAATGCTTGTGGATGTAGTGCCAATCAAGCCGGCTGCTTTGTCCTGAAGATTATGACCTTGTGACCAAATCCCACCTACCCAGTATAACACAACTCCATCACACTAAAGTCCTTACCCACTACAACTTGTCACACCTGACATTCGAGGACACAACACACCTATCCTTGCCAGAACTGAAACCACCCTGTCCTCACCAAACCTTAAGACATCACCCTGTCCCCACCAGACACAATATACCACACTATCCCAGAAGACAGCTTCTCCTGACAACTTCTCACTATCCCACCACCACTGCCCGACCTTATCCCTACTTCTGAACACCAGACCCAAAAAACCTTCTCACCCATCTGCCAACTTGACACCTCCTCCACCCCAACACCAGCCTGCCCTAAGCACTCTATCGCTTTCCTTGCACTTCAGCAGCTTACCCACATTTCTCTAGCACCCCATTTCTCTGGCATCTACACAGTTTGGCACCTTAACCCCTTAACCAACTTCCACGATCACCCCACACTTATTTTATATACATAGCTTACATTATCCATACAGGAGGTGTCAAGGTGTCCAGCTGTGTTTCCGGACAAATAACTCTCAGAACATGGTGCGCTGTCTGCAGCACAAGGATGTGTGGTTTAACTTCCTCTGACTATCTTGGGCTACAGGGGAACTCCTTGGTTTCAGATACACTCTACATTTCTAAAGGAGTCGGCTTTGGAATTTCCATCTGGAAATGCAGAGTTCTTTCCTCAGGGCAAAAAACAGGAGCAAAGTGATAATCTGACTGTGATTCCATTTGTCAGAATATCTAGGCCAACGCTTCCTTTCAGTCAGAAAGAACATAACAGAAGGCCATCAGTGTAAGAGTCATCACAAGGAAATCCAGAAAGGAATTCAGAAGAAGCCTCTTTAGTCAAGAATGATTCATACAGAGAGGTCTGAGGTGATGCATTTGAAGAGGGATAAAAGGACACAGTGCAGTCTTAATCACAGTTCTAAGGGGTGCACACAAATAGAGGGATCTGGAAGATTCCTGTGCATTGACTTTGAAGTCAGAAGGACATTCTGACAGATTAATTTGTAAATCAAATGGGATATTGGCTTCATAAAGATATTGAGGACAAAAGCAAGGAAGTGATTAAGAATCTTCATAAAGTTCTTGTTAGACCTAAACCACAGTAGTATGCCAAGTTTTGGTCATCACAGTCAGGAAGATGTTAAGGTTCCTGTCAGTGTGGGGAGGACATTTCCCAGAATGGTTCTAGAGATGAGGGATTTTAGTTTCATGGTTAGTTTGGAAAAACGGGCTTGTTCATTCTGAAGGAAAGAAATTTGAGAGGAGATTTTCATCAAGATGTCCAAGATTATCAGAGGTGGTGTACAAGATTATCAGAGATAATGTCCCTGCCCCTGGAACAGAAAGGCCTGGGTTCAAGTCTCACCTGCTCCAGTACTGTGTAATAACATCTCTGAAAAGATTCATTAGAAAAATAGATTAAACAATAAAAAAGGCCAGTAAATGAACACTATTCCCATTAAATGATGGCACAAGTACTAGAGGACACACGTTTTAGGATTTGAATAAAATATACGGGATGTGGGAGGCAGGAAAAACCCATTTCTTTTAAAAGCGAGGCAGGAATAATTAGCAACTCATTGCTTATAAGGGAGATGGAATTCGAGACAATTAATGATTTTAAAAGGAAATTGTCAGACACTTGAGAGAAATAAATTCACAGGGGCATGGAGATGGAATGGGGCATTGTGCTGCCTGTATTGCTCTATGGCGTGTCAGCACAGACTCTATGGACTGAATGGGCTCATTCTGTATTGTTACATCTTTATGACTCAACCCACTTCATAAAGATTTCTGTACAGTACTCATTTTCCCATTTATCAAAGCTTAGTGGATGCAGAAGAAACAATGGGGCCTTAGGTCTACTGAAGGAAGAACAATGAATTCAATTAAATCTGATGACCAATATTTTGCTGGAACATTCAGAAAGGCAATCAGCTAGGCTAATAATTAAATCACGTGTGCTTTATTGATGCAAATTTAGTTAATAACATGAAAGTGCACAAAAATGTCACAATATTGAGCTAACTTCAACAGATTTTTTTTAAAACTTGGTCTTGTAATATGGCAGTAGCTGTACTTATTTTGGTGTTGAATTTGACCTGATGCATGGATGTACTTGTCACAATTCCAGTTACATGTATTGTTCCTGGACTTGCATTGCCTGTTGTCTGACAAAGTACCTTTGACAATTAAATGGAATTCTTGCAATCAATTAACGTGACTTGAGTTTTTTGAAGAAGTAAAGAAGATGACTGATGAGGGCAGAGCGGTGGACGTGATCTATGTGGACTTCAGTAAAGCGTTCAAGAAGGTTCCTCATGGTAGACGAGATAGCAAAGTTAGATCACATGGAATATAGGGAGAACTAGCTATTTGGATACAGAACTGGCTTGAAGGTGGTGGTGGAGGGTTGCTTTTCAGACTGGAGACCAGTGGTGTGCCACAAGGACCGGTGCTGGGTCCACTGCTTTTCATCATTTATATAAATGATTTGAATATGAACATAAGACGTATGGTTAGTAAGCTTGCAGATGACTCCAAAATTGGAGGTGTAGTAGACAGCGAAGGTTACTTCAGAGTACAACGGGATCTTGATCAGATGAGCCAATGGGCTGAGGAGTGGCAGATGGAATTTAATTTAGATAAATGTGAGGTGCTGCATTTTGGAAAGGCAAATCAGGGCACGACTTAGTCACTTAATGGTAAGGTCCTGGGAGTGTTGCTGAACAAAGAGACCTTGGAGTGTAAATTCATAGTTCCTTGAAACTGGAGCGCAGGTGGATAGGATAGTGATGAAGGTGTTTGGTACACTTGCTTTTGTTGGTCAGTGCATTGTATTTAGGAGTTGGCATGTCATGTTGCAGCTGTACAGGATATTGGTTAGGCTACTTTTGGAATACTGCATGTAATTCTGGTCTCCTTGCTATAGCAAGGATGTTGTGAAACTTGAAAGGGTTTAGAAAAGATTTACAAGAATGTTGCCAGGGTTGGAGGGTTTGAGTTATAGGGAGAGGCTAAATAGACTGGGGCTATTTTCCGTGGAGCATTGGAAGCTGAGAGGTGATCTTACAGAGGTTTATAAAATCATGAGGGGCATGGATAGGGTGAATAGTCAAGGTCCTTTTCTTGGGGGTGCATGAGTCCAGAACTAGAGGGCATAGGTTTAAGGTGAGAGGGGAAAGACTTAAAAGGGACACTTAAAAGGGACCTATGGGGCAACTTTTCCAAACAGAAGATGGTGTGTGTATGAAATAAACTGCCACAGCAAATGTTAGAGGCTGGTACTATAACAACATTTAAAAGGCATCTGGATGGGTGTATATATATGAATAGGAAGGGTTTAGAAGGATATGGGCCAAATGCTAACAATTGGGACTAGATTAATTTAGGTCATCTGGTCGGCATGGACGAGTTGGACCGAAGGATCTTGTTTCCGTGCTGTACAACGCTGAGTCTATGACTCTAATTCATAACATTGAGAGTAATTTCGACTCTAAATTTCCCACAACATGAACTGAACCGAGGGTGAACAGAAAGAGCGTACGAGTGAGATGGGGCCTGGGAATTGGGTGGAATGTAGAGGCGAAGATTAGACTGGAGTTAAAATTCCAGCGACAAAGATAGCGCAAGACAGGTTTACTGTGATTTGACACAGGGTGATGGTACTGCAGGTTTCACATGGGCCCCGCACGTGTTTTTTTTTAAATTATTGTCACAATATTAATTGCCCAGGATGAATGAATGAAGGGGCGGATGAGAATCAGTCACCACCTTTCTACCAGACTTGCATAGTCATCTGTCATCATGCTGTCTGTGTGCTTTGTTGGGGATCTGTGTGATCCCTGCTTCTGGCGATGCGCTCTGCGTTGCTCCTGGCGCTTCCTTTTCTCGGCCTGGCGCTCCTTCTGCCTCATGTACTGGAAACGCTGCAGGAAGAGATCCTTCGCGTAGTCGTAGAGCTGCACATCCAGAAAGTTCAGCTGCTCGATGTGCCTTCGGGTTTGCCGGTCCAGCGTCACACTGGCCGCCCGGGTGCTGTTAAGTTGGGTGAACGGCGAAATGAACCTCAGCTGAAAGGTTCTTTCGAACAGACATTGGGTCTTCCTCTGGAACTCGGTCAGTCCGAAGAAGGCCATGTCTTTCAGATTAGTCTTGGCGCTGTGCAGGAGTATTTCATTGCGCCTGGTGGCTCCCATGGTGGATGCATTGTAACAGCCCACCAGGCTTAGGTCAGCGAGCATACGGACCTGGCGATTGTTGGCCAGGTTATAAGGGCAATTCATGAACTCCTGCAAACTGCAGCCTGACCAGTCGTCCCCTGCGTAGCAGGTCGGAAGCTCATCCGGTGTAGGGGTCCGGCCATCACACATGTGTAATGAAGCCCTCCAGGTAGCTCCTCTTTGGACATGCCTCCATTCACTTAAAAAGCGGGATACCGGATCTCTCAGCATTGTTATGTAATAGAAATTCCTAGAAATGTGGAGAGAAAGACCATCTGTCATATTCGCAATTTTTTTGTAACAGAACTGCAGCAACAAGAATTCTGTTTGCATTCTCGCTGTGCTGGGGTAACAACCCCCCATTAGGCTTTTAATCATCGAACTTGCTGCTTTTCAAACGAGCTACGTCACCATAAGAAGATAGCAAGAACTGCAGATGCTGGAGTCAGAGTCAACACAATGCGGAGCTGGAGGAACACAAAAGGCCAGGCAGCATCAGAGGAGCAGCAAAGTCGACGTATCCGGGACGGGGGGTCACTGGACCCGAACGTTAACTCTGATTTTCTCTTCACAGATGCTGCCAGACTTGCTGAGCTTTTCCAGCAACTTCTGTTTTTGTTCCTGATTTACAGCATCCGCAGTTCTTTTGGTTTTTATTTAGGATTTAAAGACGCTGGGATCTTCCCAACAGCTGCACAAATGTGAAAGTCAACACAGTGGATGCTGGAGATATGAAACAAAAATAGATAATGCTGGAGAATCTCAGCAGGTTTAGCTGCATTTGTGGAGAGAGAAAAAAGTTAACATTTGGAGTGCATTCTTCAAAACTTTCTTCAGCAGCCAGACCTGCCGAGTTCCTCCAGCATTCTCTTGTGTTTCTTGTTGTCCCATTATTGGACTGCTGCTCCTTTCGAACATTCCCTAGACTCCTGGCAGCTCCACATTTTTTTCTGGGTCTTCCGAGCCAGAATGCGGAGGGCAGTGGCCATTTGGGAGACCTGGTGGCAGCGGACAGGTGTCCAGGTGGTAGGAAGACAGGACAACGGCCTCGTTTTGCAGAATTAGCTGCCGTGTGGTCCATCCACTCTGAATGGTGGTGAATGGATGGATGTGTGAATGAATGAATAGGGTGCTGGCTGGATTTGAGGGAGGAAAGGCAGGTGTGTGTGGTAAATGCGTAGGCTGGATTGGGTAAGTGAGTCGGGTTGGGGTAGGTGAGATATACATGTAGGGCGGGGGTGGGTGAGGTAAGAGTTGAGTAGGGTGGTGGTGGGTGAATTGGTAGGTGGGTAGGGTGGAGTTTGGCGAGGTCATAGGTGAGTAGGGTGGATGAGGTGGGGTGGGGAGGGTGGGGTTGGGTCAGTCTGGGGCTAGTTGTGTTGTGGAGGATATGCAGTAATGGGCTATTCAGATCTGATCAGGTGAATGTTGGGGAGCAGGAGGAATAGTTGGATATTGGCATTGTTGGATCCCATAGGGAGTAGTCAGCAGTCAGGTGGATAGTTGGGATGCGTGTAGGAGGTTGGATGTAACTATGGTGAGGTCAGAAAATTGGTTGGGTAGTAGTTGGGAGCCCAGAGGGTTTTAGGGGTCTCTCAAGGAGTTGAGGGGGATATCAGAGTAAATGATATCCCCCAGTTATGTCACTAGCTCGAAGTTAGAAGTGTTTTTTTTCTGTCAAATGTTTCTTGCTGGGTACATTACGTGACACTGTCCAAAGTCTCCAACTTGGAATCAGAGAGATTGACATGGGTGTCCAAGGAGGAAGGGAATTGCCTGTCAGAACTTTAAACTGGTTGGGTAATATTTACAGAGGGTAGTGGGTTGGAAATTGTGTTGTGACCTGATATGAATTTTGATTTGTCTGTTGTCTGACAATTAGGAGACCAGAAGATTTGGGTTTTTAATTATATTTAAATCATGTATTGAAATCAAAATATGATTGGGAATGATGGGGTTTAGACAGAGAGAAAAAAAAAGAGGCAGAATTAAGAAATAACAGTTTTTATTGAGTTGCAAATTGTAAAGGAGTGTGACTCCACGCTTATAAATGTAAATTTTCAGCGTCAGAAAAGTGTTTTGGCAGTAATGATGACTGATGATTAAAAATTCACTTCTACATGAATGCACTGGCTCTAATATTTTCTGGAGTATTTGGTATCTGGTGGATAAATATTATAACTTTAAATTGATTGCAATATCAAAGTCCAGTTTCGAGGTATTGTCATGGCATGATCAGGGGATCCATTTTCTACAAGATTGTCAATAAGGTGCCAGTGGATTTCCAAACCTGTTTCTGTACCTTCCACCCTCCTACTGTACTTTCATGCTTGTCTCCATCACTTTTGACCCAACAAACATAACCTTTTGCCACTTCTCTGTAACCCTTGAACATTCTGCCATCACCCTGTGCTCGATCACCATTTCCTTTGACATTCTATCTCTCTCCTCTTTGCCTTCATCCATGACAACCCAAATTGCCCACTCTGACCGTGAACTCCTATTATCCCTCTCAATGCTTTCATTAGCTCCTTTGGTGTACCCCATGAGATCTCTGAATGTGTGACTCTGGAATTAACCTGTTTCCATCAACCCAATCCAAACTCACTCTCGTGAGTGTTCTTTCCATCAACCAACACTCCCAAATTTGAACTATAAGACCTTAATATTGACAGCATCATTCCACCGACCATCATTCACCTACAAATCCCATTAAGAACCACACCCTATCCTACCCTTTATAGGACCACCACACCTAGGATGTTTGTTGCTTCTCTCCTCTGCACTCACTGTGTCCAAACATCTACCTTTGCACGCACACGGACTCACCCAGCACCCCTGTGCCAGAGTTAAACCCGGGACAACTACTCACCTTAAACACAACTGCACAAAGTTAATCAGGTGCATTCACCCTTAAGTGACGGGAACTAGATACTACAAGACTTTTGTCCTGAGAGTGCGACTATTAAAATTTGTTCCAGGCTAATGAGTGTTCATGGCATGTAAACATGTTACAAGTAATGAACCTGCCACAGAGTAAATATGCCACACACACACTGCTGAATTCACATCTACTTCTCCACGTCACACCAAGAAATCTGAATTTTTCATCCCTTGTAAATCCCCCAAAGAGTCTGCAATGGGATAAGTATGGGTTGTGTGAGATTAGGTTCATTACTTGAGTTAAGTTAGATGGGTTAAGTGAGTCATACAAGTATGTGGTATGAGGGAGAGGTCAGCAGAAATAACGCAGAGTAGACATGTAGAAACCTTGTGCATCATTACTTCTGTTGGCACCAATCACCACAGGGTCCTCTGAAACCTTTTCCAGAATAGTCAGACACACCATCTAAGATGGGAGGTTATGCAGACGTAACCTTTTCTTCATGAATATGAGGTGAAGTGTTTGGACGACATGGCTGTTGTAATAGATTAATTGGCCTGTTAACTGGCCATTGCCAATGTTTGTTCTCCATTTGAGCTTTCTTCCATCTTTTCTCAGCTAAATATAAATCGAAATGCCTTCGCCCTGGTAACGATTGTCCCGTCTCTTCTTAAATGCACTTATGTTATTTGCTTCAATTAGTCCACATTCTTAACACTCTTTAAGCAATTTTTTCTTAATGAAGTCCCTATGGATTTCTTGGTGACTATCTTGTATTGATGGCCTCTAGTTATACTCTTCATCACAAGTAAAATATAATTACTTTAACAGGTTTACTACTTGTTGTACATGTTCTTATGTGTTGCTTTATATTACAATATCATCTAAATAAACTACAGAATTACTTGTGGATAGCAGTAGCTACAACTTGATGTATAAATTTTTCGAATTTGTGGCGTTTCTAAATATGAATGTCATGACTCAACATTTAGCTCTTGATGTTAAGGGCACATACCAGTAAACTTTCAATAGATCAATGTAAGAAAGGAATGAAGCACTGCCAACTTTATCAATACAGTCCTCTCCCTGAGAAATTGTGTTCTCATTACTGTATCTACTTTAGTGTAATTTATGCAGTATCTAGTTGACCCATTTGGTTTAGGAAATGGCACCACTGATGAGCTATAGCAGCTTTGGTTAGGTACAATCAGGTGATTTTCTAGCATGCATTGAATCTTTGTTTCCACCAAGCTTGTTTTCCCAGGTTTAACCGATAAGGATGTGCTTTTCTCGGTACTGATTCGCCTAAATTCACATCAAGTCTGGCTAATATAGTACATCCAGGTGTAATTCTACAGATTTCCTTGAATTTTTTAAATAACCTGACTGGACCTCCCCATATCCTTTCACTAAGTACAAAACCACATTGTCTAACTGTCCCAATAGAGCAGTATTGGCTAGTGGAATTGTAGAAGGTCCATTTTGTGAACTGTCTACCTGTGATTCCACCTCACTTCCCACTGCCCCTGTCATTCCCTTCTCTGTTATTACCTGACATACTTGCTCTTGGTTGTCTTCTTCCTTATGATAATGTTGCTTTAACATATTTATGTGCAAGCCCTAAATACTCACTGTGTGAAAACATTTTTCTCTCACATCACCCTTGCTTCGCTTGCACGTCACTTTAATTTTTTTTACGAGTGGGAACAGTTTGTTCCTATCTACTCCATCCAGCTCACTCATGATTTTGAAATCTCTATCAAATCTCTTCTCAGCCTTCTTCTCTCCAAGGAGAACAGTTCTGACTTCTTCAATCTATCTTCATAACTGAAGTTTCTTAGTCCTGGGACTATTCTAGTAAATAGCTTCTGCGCTCTCTTTGATGCATTTGCATCTTTCCTATAATGTGGCACCCATAACTCACACAATACTCCAGCTAAGGTCTCACAAATGTCTTGTACACCTATATACCTGAATCGGCAGCCCCTCTTACCAAGCTATTCCAGTGCAGCTGTGGCATTGATATCAAACAAGTAGAAAATAGCCCACATATGTCCTAGCCATAAAATAACGGAATGATCTTCTCAGAAACTTACTCACCAAAGACGTGCTCACTGGTTAACAATTCAGGTTCTCCCACAGCAACTCATCAAAGCTTTGAACCAGACATGGAAGAAAAGCTGAATGCTAAAAGAAATGGAAGAGTAACTTATTTTGCCAGTATTATGGGATTTATCTGAGTATGGCAATAACGAACTGTCTTAAAAAGGCAGTAGGAGACAAGTGGAAACCTTCTGCGATCTTGAGTTCTATCTGACAAACTGGAAAATGATTTTAGTTTGAAGGTAGTCTTTGCAGGCTCAGAA